AAGCTATGTCTAAGTGTACTTACGACTTAATTCAAGAAAAAGAATCTAAAAAAATATTAAAGAATGGTCCCAAAATTGATAAAAACCTTCATTATACACAAGAAATAACACAAATTAATTTGATATAAATATGGAATTTTACATATTATATCACCCTTTCACTGTACTATAAGCTTTGATGATGCAAATCCTTTTAGGTGTGGCTCCACCAACAGTAATAACATATAACTGGACTAACAATAAATATTCACTAGATGTTCACAAAGAAAACCCRTGGCTCTGACAATGTAAAAACCATCAGTTTTATTTTTCATCACACTGAGGTTTATTAAGTGAAACTCAGTAGAGCTGCATGTTAAATGAACATCAGACAGATCTGCCCTGAGTGGTCTTAAAATGCTTTACTAATGCCACAAATGCCATGGTGAACTTTATAGGTCTCTATAGAAACCAGGGCTTTTTTCTGCTCACATAAAACTCCCAACTGAGTCCAATTTGATGTAACACAGAAGCGTAGTTATTTAAAATAACTTCTCTAAATGTATCTCCATAAATCTAATCTGTATTATTTTCATAGATAAATAACAGATGAGCTAATCCTAAATTGAAAAACAGTCATTCTCAGAAAAATAAAATGTTGCTGGCTGCATTACTGATGTCTGTTGTTTTTTTTTTTCTCCAAAGAAATGTCCCTGCTGTAATCTCTGTAACTCAACACACACCAGTGTGTCGGAGCTGTCAGGAAATCAACATGTCTGTCCACAAAGGTTTGTTCTTGCAGCCTGAGAGGTCCACACTTTATTGGGTGGAACTAATTCTTAATTCACATTCAAACAGGGACATAAACATAAACACTGAGCTGTTTAAAATGCACTCTGACAACTCTGATGAAGGGGTCCTGGAGCGAGGATTGTCTCAGAAATGTTTTCACTATCTCTGTTATATAAGATGCCCATCCCTCTTTTAGCTGTACAATACAACACATACATTTACACAAACACATAGAATGTTGACACCATTGCTGAAGATACCGCATAGCTTATATGACCCCCATGCTCAAAGCACCAATGCACCAGAAGTCATCAAAACGGATTTCTTGTGTTGGGTGGGGGGCATTTATTGGTGAGCCTGATGGATAGCCCTTCATCAGACAATAAATAAATAAATAAATAAATAAATAAATAAATAAATAAATAAATAAATAAATAAATAAATAAATAAACTCTGAAGCTCCTATGTTGAGTAGTTTTTGAGTTCTAATCGTTTTTGTATATCCAGACTTTTCAGATGGAGCCCCCTCCTCAAAWATGGGGTCTATYRTAAARSCRTTAGCTGGTGCAGTGTAGGTCGGCCGCGTCAACATTCCTAGCCATTTCTGTGCTCCAATTGACTAAATCTTGAAAAAATATAACAAATACATAAACAAACAAACAAACAAACAAACAGCATGAAAACAATATAACCCCGCTTTGCATGCAGGGACCATAATAATGTGCAAACTTTGTTGGTACAAATGTTTGATTTGATGATAGAGCTTTAAAAAAAAGTGGGTAATGATGTTTAATTTCTGAACACCAAAGGAACATAACACTTTTCACAATTATCTGACCTGTTGCATAAGTTTCTACACTTCCCAGTGAAAGACCTGCAGACACTCAGAGAGATATACAGCTGAGATGGTTCAGCTTGAAGTTGTGCAACCAGTTTTCCTCAGGTCCAAAGAAAAACAGAAGACACTCTGTGTGCGTTTAAGTGATGTGTATGAACGTGAATCTCAGCAGACAACAGAAGCAGTCAGACATCATTTATCAGAAACCCTTTAGAGATGCCTGAGGCAATACATACCATCCACACACAAACACACACACACTGTAACCCTCATAGTTTGGCAGTCTGCTTTGGTTGTTTAGGTTAAAGGAAGCTGTCAGAGGAAAAAAAACTCCACAAAAAACTAAAAACATACATATTTACTGCAACACACTTGAAAGCATGGATACATTTGTCATCGTTGTTAGAAATGAAAGAAATTAAAGTAATTGCTGATGAGTGACGATAGAAAGGCCTAGCATTCGTTCAAGCACAGTCAGACTCTGTGGCAAATCAGTGGCAGCAAATAAGATGTCACATAACAAGCACATGTTAAATCCTGTACATCTAGTTTATACAACTGCAACAGAATTTTTAAAGCTTTGCGCCTTATCTTGAATCTAAAGTAMAACTTCTCCATGTGCAGGAGTTTACCCACCCAGCACCAGCCTGTGTCCTCATGTCCCGGTGCCTTCAATGTTCAGTTTCAAAATAAGTGTTTTGTTTGGCCTTCGGGTGCGTCGATGAATCAAAATGATTATTGAGCAAATGTTGTGTGTGAACAGGAACAGGGCAGATCTGCCTGCACAGGTYTGCAAAACCATGTATCACTTTGTTACTGGCACTAACTCCCAGGTCACCACAGAAACCAAGATTTTTTGTGGTGTTTCACGGAGAAAAAAAGTCCCAGAGGAGTGTGATATATCACACCAACAGACTCGCACACAAATACAAAAAGATGTAGCACACCTGGAATGTGAGATTTGTCCGAGAAACATAATACCCGTTCTTCTGCTGGAGAATAATTGTGGTTTTGTTGCCACTTTTACTTTCAAAGAATGTGGCAAAAAAAATTTTTACCGAATAGCTTACATTCCAGAAAACTAACACACATTAGGCTGATCATCCTGCATTTTAGTGAATCCATTGAAGAAAAGCGTAACTTTCTGTATGTAGTTTCTTGAAAACCCAAAAACTTAGAAAAATTTTGAACAGATACAACCTTGTAGTCCCTCCCCCCTGCTCTCAGCTCCCCTTCCTAAGCTCCTCCCCAACAGCAGGGCCCAGAGTCGGGAGCGCGCACGCTTGAAAACAGGAGGTGAGCCACACCGTGCTCAGAGCTAAAAAAAAAAAAAAAAAACTTTATTGATGTTTCACAAATCAGAAAAAGGTTTCCCAAAGCTCAAACTTAGTTTTACATATTCCACTATTAGTGTAGAGTAATCTAGTACTGGTTTGAAGAGTCCAGGTGTTGTGGTTTTTGAGCTGGACCAGGTCCAGTTGCCTATAAAATGATGAAAAACTAATTTTATTGATGTTTCACAAATCTGACAAAGGTTTCCCAAAGCTCAAACTTAGTTTTTATTCTTCTTCTATTAGTGTAGAATAATCTAGTCCTGATTTGAAGAGTCCAGATGTTGTGGTTTTTGAGCTGGACCAGGTCTAGTGTGGTCAAGTTGCTTAAAAAATGATGAAAAACAAACTTTATTGATGTTTCACAAATCAGACAAAGCTTTCCCAAATCCCAAACGTGTTTTTAAATATTCTTCTATTAGTGTAGAATAATCTAGTCCAGATCTGAAGAGTGTAGACGTTGTAGTTTTTGAGCTAGAGCAGGTTAAACACGCGCAAGGTAGTGAAAAATTAGTTGTAATATCCCTTTAGTCATTTCCGGAATCGGAAGCTAACTTCAGCTTGRTAGGTTGTTGGAGGGGTCAGCTTCACTCAGCTGGCAGRGACGGGGGTGGGCAAGARCAGGTCGTGCATGAGACAAACCTCACTTTTGATTGGCTGTTGTCTCCGGGTCGGAGAGATTTTAACAGAGGGCAGAAGGACCACCGGGAGGAGCCAGAGGACTTTTTATTCCCCTCCCCCCAGAGATTATCTGTCTAATATCAATCTGTCAGGACATAGTGATAGTTTTAACAAATATGTCAAAAATATATATTTTAAAAAGTTACAGACTGCAGCTTTAAAAGCCAAAGAAAAACTACATCAAACTTTCCGGTATGAGATCTATTTTCTACATGTGCACACGTTCTTAAAACCAAGTTATTTTACTGATAAGTTTTTTTTCTTTTACTGAACGACTGATAAAAAAGAGCAGAGTGAATGTTGAGGAATGAGTCTTGACTTGCAGAAAAAGAATGACAGACAACAAAGATCCTTCAGAACTCGAGCCCAAATCACTCCCCGTTCCTCCTTATACCACTTTCCTTTTAAATGTCTTCCTTTCGCAGCACCTGAGCCTTCAGATTTTTGCTTTCCAGTCATTCCCTGAGTCATTTTCAGCTGAATAATTAAATGGTTGATCCACAATAAGCAGAAGCATTGCATGAACTTGTTCTCCTGTTTTGTTTTTATTGAATCCATGTGTAGATTCAGTGGTGGGGAGATTTGGAGAAGAGCATTGAAATGACTGGAATTTTCCTCCTCAGCACATTTCCACCTCCTTCCTTTGAATATTCTTTACCCCTATTAGCTAATAAAATGCAGCTCAAAATTAGAAGCAAAATTAGAAWTTTTCTCTAAACGGATAAACTCAACCATGATAAATACTGAACTCTGGTTTATTACAAACACCACAACAGTTTTATTCTCAGATTATATTGAGGTGTTAAATGTATTTTTGCCTTCACGCAAGAAAAAACTCATCTTGGAATTTTAAACTGGGAACAGAGCTGCTTCCCATTAAGAGCGAGTCCAAAGTGGGTATGAAACTGTGCTGGATAGTGTGTGCTGCCATCTTCTGGTTACATTTATAACAACACATCAGTTTAGACTAGTTTGGATTATTGTGATTTGTTTTTCAGGGCAAACGGCTTTAAAATGTCTGCTTTTTGTGAGTTATTTAAATAAAACTGAAACTTTTTTTGAGAATGAAGGTTTGGAGAAATCTGAAGTTATTCTAAAGCAGAGGCAAACATTTCATTAGAAATCTTTAAATCAGAGTTTTTAGGCACAAAAAAAAATCTAAGCAAATGTTAACAAAATACGTCATCAAAACTATAAGTATTTTAACGAACATTTGCTTGGTGCCAAATCTATTTTTTCTTTGCTTCAAATAGTTTCAGCCTAACAAATGTTTGGTTTGTCAGTCATTTACTGAGTCTGTAAYCAGGTCATCATAACGTCTCATGAAGAGCCTTTAAAGGTGAGATCTTTGTGTTGAAGATGCTTAATAATCAGGACAGTTTTTAGTGTAACAGTATTTTATTAACGCTAAAAATAACAGTTTAGCCAGCAGGTGGTTTCTGTCCCAGACTGTCCTCTTCTGGTAGTTTGGTGAGAATCTTCACGCCATCAGATGTGATCACCACCGTGTGTTCGAACTGRGCAGACCTGCATGACCAAATCCACAGTAGATGTTTTTATTTTTATTCCCAGGCGTTAAGAAGATTACCACAGCTTTGAAAAAGTGTAAACATTTCGTAAAATGGAAATAAAAACAGATATGTTCCATAAGTAAACATTTTGTTTACATTTTTCACAGCATTTAACGTAACTACGGTTACATAAAGACAGGTACCTTTTATTGTCGACTGACACGGCGGTCCATTTGTCTTTCAAGATTTTAAACTCCGTGGACCCCTCCATCACTATGGGCTCTAACAGCAGGAGATTTAAACATCTTAAAGCACTTATACCAAACAGCTTCATRTACCTATAAAAAACACACCTATGAACTCACCTATTGTGAAAGCCATCCCTTCATCCATGGTGATGTCATTGTCATTTGCTGAAAATAAAATCTTGTTATCCAACTCTTATATGGAGATTATAGATTTTATGAGATCATTTACACAAGACCAGGAGRTCTAAGGTAAAACTTAGAGGGTTTTTATAAATAGTCTTGTTTAAAAGATTTAAAACAATTGATCAAATTTCACACATTTTGTGTTTACAGGTGATACAAACAAGTGAAAATGAAAAGTTCAGACATAAAATTATCTGATTCCAAAATAGTTTTCAGTGTTATTCTTTGCTAATGCTGAAGGGATCCATTTAAGCCACGTTCAGCACTGCCTTTGTTCACTGTCTTCACAATAAAAGCCACTAGCATCTTCCAACAAATAGTCTTTTTTATCTTTATTGTTGCCAATAGAATTTGAATTTTCTCAATTTTCTCTATAATTTAGTTTAATACTTCTTGTGGATAAACCAAGTGTAAATAAAATGGAGGAGCTTCAGATTACAACCTTTGTCTTGTGAGTTGTGCCACAACTGTGTCAAACGTGTGCATTTGAAGGTGTGTTTTAGAGCAAGAGAACACCTGGACATGTTTGTACAAGGCTCAGACATAAGCTCTGACACAAGAATCTGCCACACCCTCCGACTTCAACTTACCGTAGTGCCATATCTCAGGGTGGCAGTGAAAGTAGGAGCCTATCCCATGCCCAATAAAATAGGGACACACTTGAAAACCACTGGCTTTGGCTATCTCACTGTAAGCGGCACAGAAAAAACAGAGACAGAAAACAGTGGTGTTTACAGTAGGATCTCATGGTTTTAAGTGTATTCGCTGTGCTAAATACCTGATAGTGTTTCCAATAACGCAGAGCCGTGCGCCTGGTTTGCATGCGGCGATGGCCTCATCTCTGCAGCGCCTCGCCGTCTCCACCAAACGCTGCCCAACATCATCCACCTGCCCAATCAGGAAGGTTTCTGAGGTGTCACCATGATAACCGTCCAAATACACCTATCATCATAAGCAGACTGAAGTGAGTAAAGGGCAGAGCTGAAGTGACATTCAGAGTTTTTTAAAGCACCAAAACCTAAACTTACAGTGACGTCAACGTTGATGATGTCACCATCTTCAAGTTTCCGGCTTCAGATCACAGACATGAAAAGACGAAGGATGCCCAGARTACATATTAAATTAGCCGAAATACAAATAAAACCTTAATTTAAGTGTTTATGAATGTTTTTAAAACATCTTTTCCATTCATYCATTATTGATTTATTTGAATTATTTGCACAGCTAAATGTTTTCTTGGTAAAATCTTATTCTATATGATGCGGTGGGAATATTTTACTGTCTCACGATTCGATTCAAAATCAATTTTTTTCATTCAAACCTTAATGTGATCCCATTTGTCGTGTTTCTAAAGTGCTTCATCYTCATTTTGTTAATTTTGCACRCAGTGAAGCTCATATCAAACTCAGACTCATTCAGTAAAAAACAAAATGAGCTCAAATCTTTGCATTCAATGAAGACAGGGTCAGTTGAATCTCTCTTTCCTCCAGTCCCAAGTGGTTACACAATGGAGGTTGACAACCTTTGGATTTTCTTCTTACACACACACACACACACACACACACACACACACACACACACAGATTTTGGGACATTTTAAATAGATTCTGAATCTTTGTAAATGAGAATCACGATTCCGATTTAAAATGATTATTTGGTGCGCTCCTACTAAATTTTTTATTATTTATTATTTTAAACTACATTCCCATTCCATTTACCTGTCAGGTATGCCATGACACACCACGTTATTTACAGATGTACAGACTGACTTGGGGAAGCCCCCGTATCGGAGAGGGGAGGGGTAGGCATTGTGTTTGATTGTCTCCTGATGCACAATGAAGTCGATTTCATCTGTCGTCACTCCGACCTGGAAGACAGACGGGACAGTTGTGTTGGTTTTGATGACACAGAAACAAAGTCGAGACGTGCAGTGATTTTGTTCTTACGTTCAGACTGCGTCCGGCTAACAGCAGCACGTGTCTGGCGAGCTGACACGCTCTGGCAAGGCCTTTAACCTGCTCTTGGTCTTTGATCTCTATGTAGTCCGGCCATTCTGGGACCAGTCCWGAATCAACATAGTCCGGCTGCACAATGTGCTTGAATCAGAGAAGAGATGAGAACATTGAATGTTAACTGCAGGACATGATTGTYAAACAAGATCACTGAATCAGACTGAAATGAGCTGAAATAGATACAACTTTATTAACTTCTTAACGGATTTTAAATTAGTACAGAATAAACTATTTAAAAGTTAAAGAATGAAAAAATAATGAATTAATGAAAGAACAAATCTTGCTGGGAAAACAGTAACATTATAAACAACATAAAAATAACACACTGCCGATGGAACTGACATGAAGCCTTTTAGCAATCCATTAATAATCATATTTTAATAAGAACAGCMTATCTTTGTTGTCAAGGGTCAATGATTTTAAATTACCTGCCAGTTATGCCAAGGTCTGACACATTTGTTTTTTTCGTCAACCACAAGAGCAAGAACAGTTCATGATGTAACTATGCTAGGTCAGAAAGCCTTTTAGTCTGGATTGTTGTAGGTTGTGAAATACCAAGTAGAGGTCTTATGGTGCATTCACACCAAACGCGATTTMAGCATCAGGAGCATCAGGTTTACATACAAAGTCTATGGTGGACGCGCTTCAAGGAGCATCGGGAAGTGTTGCGGCGCCTCAAGCGCGATTAGAGCAGCGCGATTTGAACGATTTGAACGTTGAGGCGCAAATCGCTGAAGTTAAAAAATCTGAACTTTTGCAGCTCGTCGCGCCGCGTCAACCAATCAGAGAGACTCCACTGTGTGACGTAGCGACATATTTCCCGACGGGACAGTTTACTGAATGATGTCCACTAACCTGAAACAGATGGAGAGGAGCTCTTTAGCTGAAATCGAGTGCCTGCAGTCGGTGTCCTGACAGGAGATATCTGCACCAACGCGTGGCAGCGGCTCATCAGACTGGACTCGGGACAAAAATAGTCCTGAAAGCGAGCTGTGAGCCTCTCCCGCAGCTCCTGGGTGATGAAACTCAGAATGTCTCTGAATTATCTGGTGAATTAATTATGAATTAATTATCTGATGAGCGTGACATGCTCTTGCTCTCTGTAAATAAAGCAAAGCCACTTCCTCGTCCGACATTAAACAGAGCCCGACAGAGGAGGGAGGGGCGGGGAGGCTCTTGCCATGCAGCGCTTCAASAGCTGACCTGCRTCTGACCTCAAAGTGCACAAGCGACCAACTTCAGCGTTGGCTGCGATTTTGAAGCTGAAATCGCATTCGGTGTGAACGCAGCATCATGGTGATTTCTATTAACCTATTAGATTTCCAATTTGAAAGATGAAAACAGTATGTCAATGTCAAATTTATTTATATAGCATATTAAAACAACAAAAGCTGACTTAAGTGCTTTACAGTTCAGTCAAGACTTGTTTAAAAAAATAAACAAAAAATCATAGATACAAATACAATACAGAAACACAATATAATAAAAGCTCTAACTGAACCTCCAACTTGGTCTTAGTCAAAGGCCAAAGAAAAGAGATGGGTCTTCAGCAACAATTTAAAAGCCTCAACAGTCTCAGCTGACCGAATATTAAGAGGTAAACTGTTCCACAGCTTTGGAGCAACTATTACAAAAGCCCGGTCACCTCTAGACTTCAGTTTGGATCTAGGAACATCTAACAGAAACTGGTTGGTAGACCTGAGTGCTCTGACTGGAGTGTAGATGTTAAGAAGATCACATAAATATGACGGGGCCAGACCATTAAAAACTTTAAAAGCCAACAATAAAATCTTAAAATCAATTCTCAGGTGAACAGGAAGCCAGTGGAGAGAAGCCAGGACCGGGGTTATGTGTTCATGCTTTTTAGTACCTGTTAAAAGAAGAGCTGCTGCRTTCTGGACAGTCTGTGGGGGATGCAGAGATGATTTATCCAAGCCAGCATACAAAGAATTACAATAATCCAAGTGAGTGGTAATAWAAGCATGAATCACCTTTTCAAGGTCTTTGGAGGGGAGATATGGTTTCACCCTAGCAATCAGTCTTAATWGGAAAAAACTTGATTTTACAATKKAATTAATCTGTTTATCTAATTTAAAGATGTCATCAAAGAGAAAACCCAGATTCTTGACAGTAGAATGGCTGTRTGAAGATAAAGGACCAATGTCATCAGAATTAACTTTACCAAAACTGATTACCTCTATAGTCATAAAAAACACAATTTGTACCTGGTAAAACTGCCAAGGCTGATTGTGTTATCATTATGCCCTTGTTTGCATAGGATTTAGTTACACAGCAAAAACGGGAGTGTTAAAATTTCAGTGATAAACTTTTGGGTGTTGATTTAACAYCCCCTAGTGTTATTTTAACACTTTCGGAGTACACTCACACCCAGTGTTGGTGTTAATTCACAGTGTTAATTTCCTCAGTGTTGTCTCAACACTGGACTGTGTTAAATAAGCTCCGCCCACAGTTAAGTCTTATATAACACTTAACAGTGTAGCTATATAACACCATACAGTGTTGAGAGAAGTTTTCTGAAAAGCCCCGCCCTCTTCCACCTCATGTCAGACAGACCAGTATTTACCCAGCATTCCTTGCTGAGAAATCTTGTAGAAATGATGTTTTTGCATATTTATGACTATTAAAGAAGTTCATGAGAGTAAAAATTAGTTGTTCAGGTTAGTTTTCTTGTTCAGTTTGATCAAGTTGTTCAACTTTAAGTTTATGTTATTGGCCAAAAGTTGACACCATGAGTGAGAGGTCTGTCCTGGTGTGTGAAGGGTGACTCCATTACACTATTCTACTCACTACTGAGCAGTGTTAATGCAACACTACAGAGTTTGACATTAATTCTGAGTGTTAAATTTATACTCTCCAATTTATGTTGTATTGACACCTTGTGGTGTCTGTTAACCTTTCAAATACCACAATTTAATTTATTAATAATAATAATACACTAGTGATACTTTCAACACTTTATTTTAACTGTTGAAATGTTAATATGACACACTGTCTTGTTGAATATTTAACACTGGCTGGTGTTACTTTTAACACTAACACTGTTTTTATGTTAATGTGACACCAAGAATTGTTGAATATTAAAGACTGGTTGGTGTTAAATTAACAAAAAAATGAGTGTTAAAATTTAACACTTTCACAAATGTTATTTTAACACCAGCAAGTGTGGACACATAGACACTTTGCTGGTGTTAAAATTAACACTGTGGGTGTTAAATTAACACTGGCATTTTTGCTGTGTAAGAGATGATTATGATTCAACCAGCGATAGTTGGGCTTACAAATCTGTTCTATTATTTAATGGGTCAGTAGTTAAAGAGTTTGGTAACAACTTTCAATAGATTCTTAATCTACTCTTAATGTGAACAGTACATTTATTTGGAGCGGTCTACTCCTTATTGTTTTACCCAGAACAAATGTTAGCTCTGATTAAGAACAGCTCCTACTTTTGCTTTTCATGTTTTGTGTTGTACCTTTGGTACTGCGTAGGGGGGCCGAACAGAAGCTGGATGAACAACATTGTGAGAATTTTTCCTCTGTTTCCAGAAGAAGCTGTGATGTTGCTGACATACAAGAGCTGAAGAGGGACTGCAGTTTGTTAGATGAGAAACTCTCTGCAGGAATCTGCTAAGTCCTGAAAAAATAGCACACATATTGTTAATAAAAGGCTCACAAATTTTGCTAAGAGTTTAAAGGTTTTTCCAGCTAAAATGACAACAAAATTAAACCTATAACTCTACTATGAAATACTATTTTAAAAAAGGTAAGCTTTGCAAGTTTTTAAAAAATAAATCCTATTATTTTGGTGTAAATGCTCCTCTTTTATATTACTTTTGCCATAAGCCTTACACAATTACTGATTATTTTTGTTCTGTAATTATATTTTTAAATTTGTTTAACTGATAAGTGACATAATTATGCAACACTTCACAGTGAGAAAGTTGTCTTTTCTGGAATCACCTCGCCGCATTGCAAGTTAAGCTAACTAGCGAACAAAACACTAATTTTTTAACTACTTTATTTTCCAGTTTGTTTMATAAATGATTCGGTTCTTGTTCTTCTTACACGTATGATCGTAAAAATCCGCTCATGGTTGTTGCCTGCCTGACTAAATAAGACCTTTAACAGTACCTGCTCTTGGTGCAAACCCTGCACCGCACCGACCCACGGCCGCCGCCATTAATGTTTATGTCACGTGACACTGGAATTTGTAGTCACGTGACGTGGGCTGGTTCTCCTCAACCTGATTCACATTCACAGGAGAGTAGGAGAGTTTTGTTTACAGCCAGATTGTATTTTAGATATTTGTTTTGTCTTTTTCTGTTATGATGTTTTACAGATTCCAGAGTCAAAGAAAATATTCAAAAAGTACAACTTATATAGTCTTTCTCACAAAGTTTTACTCTTAGAGTCGTATTTACAAGGCTGAATGAAAGAAAATTGTTATTGTTTTTCAAGTTTAAATAGTTGAATGTATAATGGTTATTGCCATAAAAATGTATGGAATTCATGGGAAATGAATTGTAAACATATGATGGCAGTGTTTAAGTTTTTTTAATTAATCTGTAAATAAATAATCAATAACTGACAGGAAGGTCGAGCAAAAACACTATGTTGTCTGTAAAATATTGTGCATATTGAGGTCTAGGATTATCCTTCTAAAATAAAGACATGTGGTGCAAAACTAAATTGGTAATACAATAAATATTTATGTAATTTAAATTAAATCTGTGACATGTAAGTGTAATGGTCAAGTACTTGTTGGTTTGTAGAATCCCCCAGAATGGTTTTACTGTAACTAAYCCTCTTGCTTCAAAGATTTTTCTAAATGCTTAGCTCATCTGTTTTTTTTTTTTTGCACTGTCACCCTGCAATAATATTTTATATATAAACATCCAAAATACTCTGTCTCCTAAAACATCTTTAGAATTTTTTTTCACATATAACAAAAAGATACATGTGAATCTACTGGAAATGAGTTATTAATGAACTATTCATACAGTGAACAMGTGTTAAAAACTCTGTAATAACATTTTAACTGGGTGACGTTTGGGTTAAGAAACTATTTTTAGACAAAGTTACACACCACGGTAGGCCAAGTAGTAAAAATACTGTAACAGGTCAAAGCCATATCAGTGAGTAAACAAACAGTGCTGATAGCACTTCTGGGCACCTAACCAAGGTCAGAGAGATACACTSTCATTCACCAATGCAATAAATGATTAAACTAATATTTTAAACAAGAAATGATTTGGTTAGCAAAGTGTCTGTATTCAAATTGAGTTACAAGTTATAAAAACTTTGCTAAGGGGGTGTGGGAGTATCCCTGACCTGGGACACTTTGTCATGTGAGTCGGTTTAAGGTCTTCAATCCAAACAGCAGTTTTCCTATAACCCATCTGAGCTACAGCTGCCTCATCTGAAACCAGGAGGAAGAAACAGCATTTAGATGAAAAAGAAGGACTCTACCACTACATTTCCACATGAGACAAAGAATGTCATCATGGATAAAATCCATCAGGTAAAAATGATAACTTATTAGGAATAAATGGGATCTGTTTCACTCATTGAGCAACGTGAAAAGCAGCAGAATCAGGATCAGTACTAGAAAAAATGCATTTCTGTTAAAATACAATGTGAGTGCTGAATTTGCTGACGCAAAATATTAGCTAAAATCTAAATAAACCAAAACACTGCCTGGGTACCAAAAGTATTAAAAGCCTAACCAGAAGATATAGATAGCTAAAATGACAGCTAAACCCCCAAAGGTTTCAAAAGGCTAGATATGTAGCAAAACACTAACTAAATGTTTAAAATGCTTCCCTAAAGTTTCAGAACCATATCTAACAACAAAAAGCAACAAAATGCTAGCTATGCAATTTAAAATGCAATTAGCTTAAAGTAGCAAATACCTAAAAGCAGCAGAAAAGTAGCTAAAAGCCAAAAATAGCAAAAGACTGGCTAAAAGATTAAACACACACACACACACACACACACACACACACACACACAC